AATCTATTTTCGGGCTTCAGAATTATACCCGGTTGTTTCTGTGACGCCACGGCCTTTGTGTTGTTTTTTTTTCGTTCTTGTTTGTCACCTTATTTGAATTTCCTTTAATTGGTTTTGGGTGGTTTCGAATTGGAACTGTAATAATAACTGAAATGAGTACACAAATTACAAATTATAAATATAAAAACTCAATAACTTACTATTTTGAGAAAAACATCTTGGTCGCCGCACGCGGGATTCGAACCGCTAACCTTTCGCCTCGCAGTTTGCAGTCAAGCACTCTACTAGCTGCGCCACGGAAGCATCACGTGAGGCGCTGTACAAAGTCTATTCACATTTTGTTCTCCTATTTTTACTCAAATGGATCTGGCTCTCTTCTAGTTATTCCTTTTAGTTGTTCAGTTAATTTTGCTTTTAAATATTTATTGATTAATATTAATATTTATATATTTATTATGGTTCAATAGTAACAGTAATTGAATGTTTCAAATTTGAAAAACTTAAACATCATTTTTATCAAAATATAATTATTCATGAGCTAAAAAAAATGCAATACATTTTTTTTATTAATATGTAAATATTAGTGTAAAAAAAAAACAAAAACACAACATTAGTTTTTCGTCTCGACGTGGGTTTGAACTCACTCTTGCAGCCGCAAACTTGAATAACATATGCATGCACGCACGCGTTAGACCCCTAGGCTACCAATCCCGGAAATTTTTTTCGATTAATGGCAATTTTTTCTTAGGCTAAAAAATATTTTCTAAAAAGTATATAAGAAGGGAAATTGATCAAATACGGTTAAATTTTTTATTTTCTAGAAAAATATTTCTTAATATCACAAATTTTTTTCTAAATGTTAGAAAAATCTTCATACACTTTTTCTGTTTTTAGAAAAACAATATTTCTATTATGTAGAAATATTTATAATTTTAATGGCATTTTTTTTTTAGTTTTAGAAAAGTTCAGTCTTTTTTTTCTAAAATCAATGGCGATTTTAACCCTCAAAAAAAGAAAGGAAGATTAGAAAAATAAACCTTATAATTTAGAAAAAAATGGATTTTTCTGTATTTTAGAAAAAAATTTCTAAAAAAAACTCGTTCAATTCAGAATTTTTTTGAAGATTAGAAAATTTTTCTGAAGATTAGAAAATTTTTCCTCTTTATAGAATATTTTTTTAAAGCACAGAAAAATTTTTTTTTTTCTATATTTAAGAAAAAATAATTTTTTGAGTGTAGACATAATACATATACAACAACAAAATCCATTTGGCAGTTTTTATGAAAAACGATCATTCTTTTACTTTACATGTAAAAATGGAAACTACGCTTAAATACGCTTAATTGTTTAAAGCGGTATAAACTTTTGCACTTCTTACAAACTTTTTCTTAATTTGAAAGAAATGTTTAATTCATAATCAGTTTTTTTCGTCCAACTTAAAAAGCATTAAATTAAAATAAGTTCATCAAAGTTTAATAATATTAAAAATCTACAAAAAAAATCCACAAATTTCTTTGCATCCCTGTAATATAGTCGTCCGATTTTGTGGAATTTAATTCGAATTTCTAAAATATTAAAATAGGGTCATAATAAAAGCCAACGAAGAATTAATTTGTTCCTATGACAGGTTTATGATATAGTCGTTAGATTTTGATATAACTAAATTTCAAATTCAGAAATTTAAAAAATATGTTATGCCCAAGCGTCGGAATAAGCTAAAAATCTATAATTTTAAACAATTTTAAATGGGAGCTATGTATATGATAAGTTGTCCGATCCGGCTGGTTCCGACTTAAATACTACCTGCAAAAGATGGAAGAAGTTTGGAAAAGTTTCACCCCGATTGTAGTTTGCGTAGACGAAAAAACAAATGATCTGAAGTGTGCATTATAGAAAACAGCCAAATTTTGTTAGAAAGTGTCTAAGTTGAAAACCCAATGGAGTGGACCTGGTTTAAGGACTGGTGGCGTCTTAAAAAGCTCCGCTCGCGTCATCAGCGGCATAAAAAAAAACTCGAAGCTGCTGCGGCAGCCGCTGGTGCTGCCGTAACCGCAGCAGCTGTTTTACCCGGTTCGGAAGTAAGAAGTGCTTGTTCTAAGGATCCGCACTCCAATCGTCGCCACAGTTTGGACGCAGTGCCATCTGATGGAGCAATACCCAGACGTCGTCGGGGTCGTGGTCGCGATCGCTTGCGCCGAAATCGTTTGCTGCAGCGCCAAAGACGGAGTCAAAGTGCCGGAGTTCGCAGCCAACCGGGTACGGAGAATCTGCTCAAAAGAAGCCGCGACGACGACGATGGGGAGTACGGACCCTTTAATGTCAGCGATTACGAGGATTACGGCCCCAATCATGGCAGCGACGAGGATAGCGATGATTTCTGCTTCTGCGATGTCTGTATGAATGTAGGTCTTTTTGGTTAGTCGAAAGATATTGATTGATTGGACTCTGAGACGCTAATGAGTTGACAAAGTCGGGGATTAATTTAGCGCTAATTGCTATGTTGATCGGGCGGCACCTGAATTGGATGTGACTTTGTGCTTTTGCTGTCACGTTGCACAGTGGGTATTTTACCGCCAAACTCGTTCTCTTTAAGATATACGATAGTTTGCTAAATAGTTTTCAAAAATACACCAAAAAGGATGATAGTATATTTGAACCCGTCGATCACAAAAAAACAAATCAAAACATTTTTATGGATACATTTTTTTTAAGATTGTTTTATAAATAATATTTTGGTACTTCTCGAGTTGCGCCTAACTAATTTAGGTGATGATTTAGGTGAGTCGATATAGCCATGCCCGTCTGTCCGTCTGTCCCTCCGTCTGTCCGTCTGTATGAACGCTGAGATCTCGGAAACTACAAAAGCTAGAAGCTTGAGATTTCCCACACATATTCTTGGGCTTCCTATGCAGCGCAAGTTTATTTCGACCGAGCGCCACGCCCCTCTAATGCCCAAAGTGTCTGGCGCCCACACCTTTTAAGATTTCCGAGAAGTATAAATGCAATTTTGTTGTGTATATTTTTATCTATCGAAATGTAGAAGACAAATCGGACCATTCATTAAAAAGTTATGCGCAATCAAAAAAATTTGATATATCCATCTCCCACGCACTCCCTTTAGGTATTAGATAGCGTTCTCTCTTGTTTTAAATTGAAAATAGACATAGTTACTTTGTAATACATTTTTATACCCGTTACTCGCAGAGTAAAAGGTTATATTGTATTCGTGTAAAAATTCCGACCCTATAAAGTATAATAAAACATACAAGAAGGCATATTTATAACGGGTATTTAATAGTCGAGGCAATTGTCTATAGCATTCTCTATTCTTTTTACTTTAAATCTGATATCAACAAAAAACACATCTTGACAAGGTAAAAAACTAGTGACAATCACACCTTCAACATACAAATGTTCTGTTATCAAATTTTGTGACGAGAAAAAACTACCTAAATAAATACACTTTTTAAAACAATCTCTTTCGTCACGGTGCTTAAGTAAAACCATAAATATAAAAGATCGTTTGACCCATGGTGAAACTATACAAGGTGTTCTCGTCGCGAGAGCTGTCCTCTTTTGAGGACGTCATTTGTGCCAGCCTCTATCTAGCTATTTCATTCTATCGCTTAAGAGAGACAGAGAACGTCCTCAGCAGAGCTGACGAGACCACCTTGTAAAGTTTCACCATGGTTTGACCTACTTCAACAAAATATTAGAGGCTCTTATCTAGTAGAGCCCTGTATGAGTTCACATAATTTGACAAATAAGTCGATTTTTTTTAATGTGTGATAGAGTGAATTTCTTTTGACATCAAAAGAATATACCATACTATTTTTTTTCTTTTTTACCATTTATACTATTCTTTGCAAGGGAACCATGGCTGACCGCATTCTTTTTCGCGGGTCCGTCTAGGTCCTAGACTCTAGGATAATGTTTTAAGATTTTTTGGGACGCTACAGAAATCTCTTACAACCAAAGTCGTTTTGAATTCCGAATGTCCGTGCCATTCTTGAATAATCCGATTTAATATTTAACTAATAACTTTTAAATCCATAGTGATAGCCGTTTTCTCATTCGCATGCTAAATTTATAATAGGCCTTTAATTCCGAATTTCCATATTTTTTCAAGGGGCTAAGTGCATTATACATATCATACCCATATGATTTAAATCACTTTTGAAGTCAAACTTCTTCTATGGATTTTCGGGGACGGAGTAAAACCGATTCATGACCGTCACCAAAAACAGTATATAAACCTGTCTCTCTTTTACTGCTGACGAACGTTCTCTTTGTCCTCTTCTTTTCTCTCTTCGCTCTGAGCGCGCTCGCGCATGGTGCAAATACATATATAAGGTGGTCTCGTCAGCTCTGCTGAGGACGTTAAATATGTTAACGTTTCTGTCTTTCTTAAGCGATAGAATGAGATAGCTTAATAGAGACTGGCACAAATGACGTCCTCAAAAGGGAGCAGCTCTTGCGTTGAGACTACCTTACACATTTACGTAGTTGCAAGTTGAGAGCTTGTGTGAGAATACGATTTTTAAGCCGAAATCATTTCTGTGACATTAATTAAGCTGCACACACCTCTCACCCTTAAGACTGCGAATCCACTGCAGCGCACAGCTGTCTACTTTCAAAGGTAAACAAACCGATCGAGAAGAAGTAGAAGACATTTTACATGTTTATATTGCCAGGTCGGTTGATAAACGAGAGAGGAATGCTAGGCTGGACACACCTTATTTTTTTTGCTTGGAAATGCTTTTTGAATGATTTCAATATAATTCATTATTTTGTGTTTCCTGTTTTTACATTTTGAATTTGCTCCTTAGTGAAAGTTGGAGAAAAATGACAAGCTAGAAATAACCAAATTATATTACTGAAAAGGTCAGCGAGGCGAGACTCCAGATATTTCGGACGTTGCCTGCGCGTGCCTGCTCAAATCGCTCGGTGATCTTTCGCCGAGAATATTTATTAATGACGGCTTCTCTCTGCTTTCAAAGGGTGACACGGACTTTGGGGACAGCAATGACGGGATGGACTCCGACACGAGCACTTCGTCCAGCAACAGCAAGCAAGTGGTCGTCGGCATCTGCGCGATGGCCAAGAAGACACAGTCGAAGCCGATGAAGGAGATCCTCACGCGTCTCGGGGAATTTGAGTTCATCAAACTGGTGACATTCGAGGAGAACGTGATCCTGCGAGAACCGGTCCAAAATTGGCCCACCTGCGACTGCCTAGTTTCGTTCCATTCGAAGGGCTTTCCGCTGGAGAAGGCCATCGAGTATGCCCAACTAAGGAATCCATTTGTGCTAAACAACCTGCACATGCAGTATGATATTCAGGATAGGAGGAGGGTGTACGCAATTCTGGAGAAGGAGGGCATCGAGATACCGCGCTATGCCGTCCTCGATCGCGATTCGCCGGATCCCAAACGTAAGTATATACAAGGTATATACTTTCCTTGCTAATCCTGCAATACATGTTTCTATTCAATAGACCATGAGCTGATCGAATCAGAAGATCACGTGGAGGTTAATGGAATTACCTTTAACAAGCCCTTTGTGGAAAAGCCCGTTTCAGCGGAGGACCACAACATCTACATCTACTACCCCACATCGGCAGGCGGCGGGAGTCAGCGACTTTTCCGTAAAATCGGCAGCCGGAGCAGCGTGTATTCCCCGGAGTCCAGAGTGCGCAAGACGGGATCATTCATCTACGAGGATTTTATGCCCACTGATGGTATGCAATTTGCTCACTATGCTCCCATGCTCTATTCAGCTGTAGGTACTACCCAAATTTGCTCCACTTACCGTCAAGTCCCCCACGAGTGATGGGAAGTTCCTGGGTAGTTGTATCTAGATGCTTGCCTAGGTATACTGATTTTTATAAACGTAAATTACTTAATTTCTTTTCCATATATCAATTACATAAAAAAGTAATTGGTTTGCTAAATATTGTTTTTAATATGAAAATTAAATTTGTATGTTATATGATTTTATGTTTAAACAGTGATTTTATTTGTTGTTTAAAGAAATTAAGCGTACAATTTCGTATACAATTTAAAGTCTCAATAATCATATCATATTTTAAATTGCCGGATTTGTTATAAATGCAAGAGTTAGTATAAACCAAACTAAAGGAACCCTAAAGAACTAAAGAACCCTATAGATAAAAACATAAAATTTAGTTGTTCAAAACCAACTCGTTCCTATTTTAATCGCTCACCTTCCGATAACCCCGCTAATTCACTGGCTGTCTATTGTTGTTATGGCTTTGGCTAGCTCGAATTTTATAGACCTACTTAATCTAATCCTCCAACGAAGCATCGCTCATTGTGCCTTGTCCTGCGTTTCGCCCCGCACGCGCCGCTCATCGCCAAGCTCACAAAAATCTAGTATGTAAATAGATCGAAAAAAAAATAGTAAAACACCGAAACACACCAGTGGCCGCCAGTCGAACGCACTGAATCCAGCATCACCTTTACAACTTAGTATACTTTTCAGGCACGGACGTCAAGGTGTACACCGTGGGACCCGATTATGCCCATGCCGAGGCCCGCAAAAGTCCCGCTCTGGATGGCAAAGTGGAACGCGACAGCGAGGGCAAAGAGATTCGCTACCCGGTGATTCTCAATCACTCTGAGAAGCTCATCTCACGAAAAGTGTGCCTGGCCTTTAAGCAAACCGTCTGTGGGTTTGATTTGCTGCGAGCCAACGGAAAGAGCTACGTGTGCGATGTCAATGGGTTTAGCTTTGTGAAGAACTCTAACAAGTACTATGACGACTGTGCAAAGATACTGGGCAACATGATCCTTAGAGAGCTCACGCCTACGCTGCACATCCCCTGGTCGGTGCCCTTTCAGTTGGACGATCCTCCCATTGTGCCCACCACTTTCGGCAAGATGATGGAGCTGCGCTGCGTGGTGGCCGTAATCCGACATGGCGATCGCACTCCCAAGCAAAAGATGAAGGTGGAGGTGCGGCATCCAAAGTAAGTTCAAACCTATATACAAAATCCGAATCGGAAATAAAGAATCAATCATTTCCAATCAGATTCTTTGAGATCTTCGAGAAGTACGACGGCTATAAGCTGGGCCACGTTAAACTGAAGCGGCCCAAGCAACTGCAGGAAATCCTGGACATCGCCCGTTTCCTGCTCAGTGAGATCCACACAAAGGCGCACGCCGAGATCGAGGAGAAGGAAAGCAAACTAGAGCAGCTGAAGAACGTTCTGGAGATGTACGGCCACTTTTCGGGCATTAATCGCAAGGTCCAGATGAAGTACCAACCGAAGGGTCGTCCACGCGGCTCCAGCTCCGATGACAGTAAGTCCGTTCGGATTCCCCCATACCCAAGTGCCCCGATTAACCAAAGCGAAGCCAATCTAGCAGCGGATCAGCCTGTGGAGCCATCGCTGGTCCTCATTCTCAAGTGGGGCGGCGAACTGACGCCAGCCGGTCGCATTCAGGCGGAAGAACTGGGCCGCATCTTTCGGTGCATGTATCCAGGTGGACAGGGAAGATCCGATTACTCAGGCACCCAGGGCCTGGGCCTGCTAAGGTGAGTTCACATTAAAACTTTGATATTGTATCTCTTTTCAACCAATTTTCTAAACCGGTCGGCTGTGTGACTGCTCTTGAAGCAAAACCTTTGATTCAACAAATAGGTTCAGTTCCATGTCACTTTTTCCCAACCTTCCGAGTCCTTAAAGAAGGGTTCCGCAGAAACGCGGCTCTTCTTCTGTTGTTCTGTTGTTCTCTATGCTTCCCAGAAATTTTTAATAGCACTGTGCAACAAAATGAATGCCTTTTAAATTTTCCTCGATGGATGCTACATTTTTGAATTCGGTTTGAAAGATAAAGAGTGTATCTTTTAAAAAACTTTAACATCAAAACAAACCATGAATCCGTTTGCCTCTGAGAACTCCGGAACTCCTTGCGTCGGGGAACTTTTTGGAAAACACAATTTAACTTCGGAATTCGTAACTAATTCAAAAATACAGCATCAATTCCGGTAAATTTTGAGATGTTGCATAGTGTAATTTATAGGAATAATTTTTTTAAATATCTTAAATTTCATCCTAAAACACATATTTCAGATTACACTCCACGTTCCGGCACGACCTTAAAATCTACGCTTCTGATGAGGGACGTGTTCAGATGACGGCTGCCGCCTTTGCCAAGGGTTTGCTGGCCCTGGAGGGCGAACTCACACCCATCCTTGTTCAGATGGTGAAGAGCGCCAATACAAACGGACTGCTGGACAATGATTGTGACTCCAGCAAGTATCAGAACCTGTAAGTATATCTAAAATCTTTGTTAAATCCAGTCCTCAATAACTACGAAGGGTTTATCAACTATAAATTGGACGACTATATGTTCGACGACTAAATGTTCGAAGAGTTAATGGGAAATAATAGAAAAAATAGTTATAGCTTTGCTATTTGAGATCATATTTTTATCTACACAGGGATATATAATACTTTTAATAGTTCAGAACTACGAAAAAAATTTGTATACAAATCGGACATAAATGTTGCTGCCAAGATCTTTAAGGGTATAATCCTAAGTGCTTGATTTTCTGATTTATAATCATTATTTGCAGTCCCTTTTAAAATTTCGGATAAAAATTTTACAAGATTAAAAATAAAATCGTGTTTTTTGTATGTATACCTATACTTTCTTTCTTTCTTTTGTTTAAGGACTCGCATTCACCTCTCGAAAATTCTTCCAAAAAACAAAAAACAATTCAGGCAAACAACAGCGTGATTAGCATATTGAATTAACTTTAATTATAGCACGAGTCAACCAATTGAACTTGTTAACGTTTTCGTGTGCAATCCTTTTAGTGTTTGCAATACCTTGTGAATGGTGTGTCATTCGTTATGATCGGACAATTACAACAGATTTTCAATTCTGCGGTCATATATATAGTAGTCGACTTCGCACACTAATGTATTTCGAGAAATTCGAATTTATTTCGCTGTTTAAAATGTTATTGCGGCAACATTATAACTTGTAACATATTCAAAGGCTTGCCGAAGATAGTTTTCCGTTCCTTAATAACTTCATTAGGTATATTTTCATTCCACTTGTTCTTTAGTATTCAGTTTTAATTTTTGCTACATAAATCCGTTGTATAATTTTAACCAACAAATCCCTATATTTTCCGCAACAGGGCAAAAGGCCGTCTCCACGAGCTAATGCAGAATGATCGTGAGTTCTCCAAAGAGGATCGCGAGTTGATCAATCCGTGCAACAGCAAATCGATCACCCAGGCGCTGGACTTTGTTAAGAATCCTGTGGACTGCTGTCACCACGTACATCTGCTAATCCGCGAGCTATTACACATCATCAGCATCAAGAAGGACGATCCGAAGACAAAGGATGCAATCTTGTACCACGGCGAGACATGGGACCTCATGCGTTGTCGCTGGGAAAAGATCGAGAAGGATTTTAGCACCAAGTCGAAGCTGTTTGACATTTCCAAGATACCGGATATCTACGATTGCATAAAATACGATCTGCAGCATAATCAGCATACTTTGCAGTATGATCAGGCGGAGGAGTTGTATATATACGCAAAGAATCTGGCTGATATAGTTATACCGCAGGAGTACGGCTTGACGCCGCAGGAGAAATTGGCCATTGGCCAGGGTATTTGCTCACCATTACTAAGGAAGATCAAGGGTGATTTGCAGCGAAATATCGACGAAGTCGAAGATGAGTTCATGAATCGTTTGAATCCACACTATAGCCATGGTGTGGCAAGTCCTCAGAGGCATGTCCGCACAAGGCTCTACTTCACCAGCGAATCACATGTCCACTCGTTGCTCACAGTCCTGCGATATGGGGGATTACTTAACGTTGTCACCGATGAGCAGTGGCGTCGGGCTATGGACTACATTTCGATGGTATCGGAGCTGAATTATATGTCTCAAATCGTCATCATGCTCTACGAAGACCCCACCAAGGATCCAACTTCCGAGGAACGCTTTCACGTCGAACTGCACTTCAGTCCGGGCGTAAACTGTTGTGTGCAGAAAAATCTGCCGCCGGGTCCGGGCTTTCGGCCGCATTCGCACGGCGACAATGCTTGCAATGTGAGCTTGCAGTCTTCGGATGAGTCAAATCCTTCCAGGATCGAGGAGGAGAACGACTCTAATTCAGGAGAGGAGCGGGAGGGTAAGAAGCGAGGGGTAAGTTTCTAAAATTAGTTTTTACATTTTGGCAGGTATTGCAAAACCAAATAGTAATTTGCCCACTTAAAGTTTAAAAAAAAATCGATTTCAATTTTAATAATGGGCTTTAATATTCACTCTTCCAAGCTCTATTTTTTGTGTAAAAGTCTTAATTTTGTCCCACTTTTAGTTAAAAAATATCACATATTAGCATTCCTATAGCATGAAAAAACAACAGATAAACAAAAAATAGCCTAAAATTAACTTTTGCGTATATTACTATAGTCCAAAATAACGTTTGCTTATTTTGATAGGTTTTGTCATAAAAATAATCAAAGTATAATCAAATTTTTTAGTTTAGGAGGAGTTTTTTTAGGGATCAAACTAATTTGAAAATAATATCGGGGCAAATCAAATCAGTCAGAAGTTTGCAACGCAGTGAAGGAGACTAATCAAAATCTTCATTTTATTTCTAAGAATCTCAAAGAATGAATGCTGCACTGTTGCGACCAGATTTACATGCTTATACGAGTATTTAATATATGGTTTCGTTACTATTTCTTTTAGAATACCGGCCAAAGGTGTTCGGATCGCAGCGCTGAACGCACTTCCCCCGCCTTTGGATTCAACCGATTAGAACTGCGATCCAAGCAGTTTAAGTCAAAGCCCATTCCCATCGGAGCTCACCATACGGTCAGTGGTCATGAGGCAATGGATTTGGCCAAGCGGTTAAACGAGGAGCTGGCCTCGCAGCAGCAGCAGAACCAGCAGCTCCGGCCCATCAGTCCGGATATCCGTGCAGTGAGCCCTGACTGCGAGCCACGTTCCCGGAGCTTCGAACAGCGTCCCTCCTCCGGCGTCTGTGCCAAGGAGCCGGGTACGTATTTTTGGGCAGGGACTGACGGTCGATCGAGCAAAGCTTGCCGCCGCCGCCTACGCAGCCGCCTTTTCCCCAGGGTCTGGATTTAACTAGCCACCTTTTAACCAGTTACCCAAAAAAGAATCCGCGTTACTCGTTTGTCCTTCACATAACTCAACCACCCGATTGGCAAATCCCAATTTTAGACTAATCCGCACTGATACGGTTTGGCTTACCTACTTTAACATAACTCCGAGATAAGTTTTGGCAGAGAAGGAAATTTAAAAATTAATTTTGGTTTCAAGGTAGGCTCTTTTCAGATGGCCGTTCACTTAATGATAAAGCTTGCCAGAAGAATATCAGTTTTTGAAAAATAATAATAAGGATACCGAATTGTAAATTAAAATTAACGTCTGTTCCCTTGTCTGTTTTTTACTGACAAATTTGTTCTGATAGTTTACAAAATAGGTAATTAACCACCATTTAACTGATTTACTGGTTGTAGCGGTTATCTAATTTTGATACATTTTTTTATATACGGGGGTGTCACAGAAATCTCTTCCAACCAAAGACGGTTGTACTTAAGAAACATAACGAATTTTGGTTAGAAAAGATTTCTGTGACACCTCCGAATTGGAAAGTTCTGTAGGATAAACCGAAGAAGTTAGTTGAGACTCTCTCTGCCAGGTTATCCAGGCCTCGGTTTCTCCGAAGTACCACCTTTATTCATCTCTTGAAATTGTGCATAACTTCTTGTCCTCTTTTATGGTTTATATAATATATTTTTTTGTGGGGTTCTTTGCATGCCGTTCCTTTGTTCCTTTCTGTGTTTGCGTCACACGGTTTCCCGTTCGCACTACCATCTAACACAACTGGGGAATCCCCAAGACTAACACTAAGGAAAGGAAATCCCTACCCGAAAATCTGAACTCGCTTAAATTTTGTTTTATATTCCCCCACCCAAAATATTTCGATGAATTATTCTACTTTTTTTAATATATATAAAAATAGATTTTATATATCCTTTAGCTAGATGCCTCTCTATTTCGAATGGTAAACGAATAATATTCAGTTGAAATTTTCCATCATTTTCACTATTGTCCAAGAAAAAGTTTAAAAGAATTTTCATCTCTATCTCTCTTGAGCTGTACCCAACATTTTTTTGGTTTTCATTTTTTCTATTGCAAAACAATCGAAATGACACACACGCCCAGGACACCCTACGCATTTAAACACACCTTTTTTTGTTGAATGTCCATATATATTTCGATCTGTATTTTTCAAATGAAATATCAAACCAAGAGGTTTGTCTAGAAAAAATAAAAATCTATAAGCATCTGGCCGCGGAATCCCGTGTACTTGGCAATGCTGGTTAAACTGTCTCAGTCACAACATAACACACAGCCACTCTATCCACGTCCCCACACACTTGCTACACTCCTACAAAAAGCAGCTGAGCACCAGGAAAGATTTACACCATCTGACCATTTTGTTTTCAGAACAATTATACAAATCTTTGCTGGCGTCCAGCTGCCTACGGCCAAACAAGGTTCTATACCCCTTCTGTTTTGCCCTCTATTACTTTCTCTATCTCTGTAAATGCCTGTTTGTCTGCTTATCTGTCCTGTCAAACTATCTCTTTTTTGTCTCATTGCATGAAAAGCAAATATTTGAAAGATATTGAAAAAAATTTAAAATTTAGCTTGGATTTGTGGCGTTCTCTTGTCTGTGTCTGTATGTTGCTTGTTGTTGTTGTTTGCAGACCCAGAACCCTTCCCACCGACCCATAATCCTTTCACACCCACACAAACACATCTACAGAGACATTTAAACAGTGACCTAACCGGACCCGAAAAAATCCACTTACTCTTTCGATGCCTGAATTTTTATATATACCTACAAAGTACTAAAAGCTTCTACTAAAAGCCTTTGCCGCTGCAGCTGCCAAGTTAGCCAACTTACAATTTTTCTAAATGCTCTTGTGGGGTCTGCAAGATTGGAAAATAACGGTTTAATGAAAATATATTATAACATAAATAAATAAAGTAACTATTAAAACTAGTAGCTCAATTTTAACCTGAGGTAATATTAGATTTATTGCAAGTGTACCTCTATTTGTTAAAATCATTATTATTGATGTATAAAATGAATTATAAAAGTGGTTTCAATTTAGTTAAAGGAGCATATATCTTTCGGGTCTTGCAAGAGTATTTCCCATTCGGCTTGCCGATTTTATTTTTCTTTCCTTTGTCTTCCTCTTAGTTTTAAAATTGTTTTTCCTTCGTTTTCTATCCCCGTGTTTTCACGTTCCTTTGTTTTTCTACGAACTTTGCGCGATCTTCGAATTTCTTTTTGATTATCTCGGCTAATGAGTTTTCTATTTGTACACACTATTACATAAACCAACGCACCGACACTCCAATTCTTGAATATATCACCACGAACTTGGCTGACTTTGGACTGAAAACTCGAACCAACCAACATGCCTAACTAATTACCCTTCTTCCTGATTTCATTTTGCTCGCGGACCGAATATGACTTTGATGATTAGTAGCTCTATCTTCTGATTTTGAAGAGGTTTCTCAGGGTCTTATTTCTAAATTGGAGGACAGCTTGCAGGCCCGCACTCCTGAATTTAGGGAGATAGCCCACGCTCGAGTGGGTGTAGCCGCCAACTCGGAAAAGGGAGCAAATCCAAAGGCTGGAAATCGCACGGCTTTTCAGATTCGGGTTACGGATAGTTTATCCTTCTTTAAAATTGATTCATCGACGAACGAGCTGCCCTTGTCGGACATTGATTTTTCGCTGCACCCGGCCACTCCCCAATGCGGTCCCTTGTCGCACAAACGGCCCCATGTGCTGACAATGCGGCGGATGGAGAGTTGCGATGAGGGCGAAGATCTCGAGCAGCTCCGGCATATGCCGCAGATCTCGCCGATGGCCACAAATGAGCGGCCCTTAAGCTCCTGCAATTGCAGCAGCTCGGCGGTCCACGCGCACTCGCACTCCAAAAGCCTGATGGACTTGGGCCAGGCGACGGCTGCGCCATCCCCACCAGAAGCCAGACAGCATTCGGAGATGGGCGGTAAGCCGGTGGCAGGGGCAGATGCAAGTGCCAGCAGTTTCGATGACGACTTCCAGTTGTCCAGCTCGGCACCGGCCATCCTGATGAGCTCACACTTTGGCCAAAAGCCAATGAGTGCTGCCTTATCGCCGATGGCCCATGCCACCACCTCGCCCACAGCCTCCACTTTACGTCTCTGCCAGGATATGGACAAGGCTTCGGCTTCGGCTTCGGCCTCATCATCTGCTGAACGCAAGGCCACCAGTAGCTCCTGTGGTCAGCTGTCAATGCCGGCCTCGGCTCCTGTTTTGACGGACAATCCGTTTCGCTTCACCGTTTCATCAGTGGGCTCGGCAGCGTCCTCTAGCGCTTGTTTTGTGAGCTGTTTCGAGCCCATCAAGGAGCAGGTCACACCCACATTGGAGGTGGATCCAAAGCCATCGCCGACAGAGCCTCAAGTAGTCTATAATCTGCCCACGCTGCTGATTACAGGCACAGCAAGTACAACAGAATTGACGGACATGAACAATACCTATAGAACGACAGAAAACTCAGTAGTTGCTAGAATGTTTGATCCAATAGGTAGTAAGATAATAAAAGATATAGCAACAAACACAGTAGAAGTAACAACACCAACACCAAAAGATATTAGAAGTGCTACAAAAACAGATATAACAATAGATTCAACAACGGTTACAGCAATAGATACAACGAAAGATATATCAACGAATACCGAAATAGTTACATCAACGGTTACACCAACAGATACAACTGTAGGTATAGAAAATTCAACACCAACGGTTACACCAACAGTTACAACAACCGATCTTACAAAAGGTATACGAAGCTTTACACCAACAGCCACCCCAACATCCCCACAAACATTTACTCCATCAACCACCACTACAACAACAACAACAACATCAGCAGCAGCAGCTTTGTTTGATAAAACAGCAACAATGTCTTCTAATCAACCATTTACTAACCAATTCCAATCAATCGATCCCCCCTCAAACGACGCACCACACCATCATGTACATCAACACCAAAACTTAACAACGATCATCGATCAACAACATCAACAAACATCATGCACCATCAAAAATACACTGAACGAAAACAAAACCACCGCCACAAATACAAACACCACTACCACGACCCTGTCTTGTTGTACCAATACCATCGCCACAGATAGCCAAGTCTCGGTTTCGGCCTCAGTGTCATCGGCCAACTCGTCCACGTCGTCGCGACGCCAAAGACACAGTATTGCCGGCCAGATGTCCTATATGAAAATGTTGGGTTTCGGTGGTTTTAGCAAAAAGATGGCCACCAGCGCAAATAGCCTTTTCAGCACCGCCGTCATTAGCGGCAGCTCGTCCGCTCCTAATCTTCGCGACATGATACCGGTCTCCTCATCCGGTGAGTACACAACATTCACTAATTATAATATGATGTAAGCACTGAATATTCATTTTTTCGGAGGAACGAGTTTGGGTCCCTAAGTAATAATTCAGAACGTTTGAGCTTTAATTTGAACCATTTTGTCTACAATGCGTAAGATACCTATAAGGTTTTTATTTGATATTGGTCGTCAAAGTATTAAGTATTTTGACACGCTCATACAAAATTAACTACACAGAGAAAATTATCAAAAGTTTTAGGTGCAAAATAAGGGGTGAAACATTTTAAAAAGTAAAACGTTTCATACAAATTTATTTTACTTTGCATTTTTAAAACGTTTTCTTTTTTATTTTTAAAACGTTTTTATATGAAAACGGCACCTAAAACGTTGTATAATTTTCTCTGTGTAATTTTTCTAGAAGGTTATGTTTTAGATATCGGATTTATTTTCAAAAATTGACTTGTTTGTCAATTCAAGTGTACTCATGCAGGACTCTAGTATATAATTCCCGATATCTAAAACATTACCTTCTAGAATATGCCAGTATGCGTACTAATTAGATAGGTAAGAATGTCACAAGCAGGAATGGAGTGCCTCGACTATCAGATACCCGTTATATTATTATTATTTTAGTGTAATCGTGACTGACTTTTAAAGGTGTCCAAACTTACACAATCTTTTTCAAAATAGCGTTTTTTTTTCACTTTTCAACAACAAATATTTGTAGTTTTCATAAATGAAAAAAAAATTGTTTTGTTGGTTTATTATAAACGTAAGAGACAAAACGCATTACCAGTGGCAAATTAAAAACAAAATGATCTTCCGTCTGTGTTGTCGACATGTAGTGTCCATTTATATGCTGATGATGTCCAGATGTATATTAGTCGTCCCTCAAATAGAATTAGTGAGTGTCTAGATATTTGTAGAATGGAGCTTGGTTAAGTAAAACAAGAAAGGAAGCTAGCTTCGGCCAGCCGAAGCTTATATACCCTTGCAGATCATTCCTATTAATTAACAAATCGCAAAAATGTTCAATTTTCTAATATTTCTCATTAATTTTCCGATCGCTCCTATGGCAGCTATATGATATAGTCGTCCGATTTTGATTAAATTAAAATTGAAATTCGGAAATATTTAAAAAGAGTCATATCCTAGAGTAGAAGATAATACAATAAAAACCAAAGAAGCTTGAATTTATTTCCTATTACTTTTCCATTAATTTTCCGATCGTTCCTATGGCAGCTATATGATATAGTAGTCCGATTTTTTAAAAAATTAATTCGAAATTCAGAAATATTTAAAAAATAACATCCCCAAAAGTAGAAGGTAATATTTCCAAAAACACCGAAGCTAGAATTTTTTAAAGTTTTTTTTTTTCCGATTGTTCCTATGGGAGCTATAAGATATAGTTGTCCGATCCGGTCGGCTCCGACATATATACTACCTGCAATAGAAAGAAGACTTTTGCGAAAGTTTTGTCCCGATAGCTCAAAAACTGAGAGACTAGTTTGCGTAGAAACAGACAGACGGACAGACGGACGGACAGACGGACAGACGGACGGACAGACGGACAGACGGACAGACGGACAGACGGACATGGCTAGATCGACTCGTCTTGTGATGCTGATCAAGAATATATATACTTTATGGGGTCGGAAACGTCTCCTTCACTGCGTTGCAAACTTCTGACTGAAATCATAATACCCTCTGCAAGGGTATAAAAATGGGCAAATAACAACGGTCTCGCCATCAATCCATTAAAATCAAAGTGATTGATAATTTTTAAAAATAAGTTATGCAATAATACACTAAGCCCCCTGATGATAAATAACACACCAATTGAGTACGTGGAAACCGCCAATAATCTGGGTATCACATTCAATAGAACATTGAACTGGGATGACCACGTAAATAAAGCGATAGGCAAAACATATGCACTAATAAGATCCTTGTCACTAGTTAAATGTTCCTTACCTGTTACTGTGCGTCTACTTATTGCGAAGTCTTGTCTAATACCCACACAACGTGGAATGAACTTTCCAATTACATAAAAGAAACTAGGAACGCACCACTATTAAAGGCAACACTTCTTTTACACCTAAAAAATAGCAGCTCCAGTTTGCTTTAAGCTGTATTATCCTATCTTAACATTGCGACTCTTCCTTTGTTTTTTAATTCGACTTAACTATATTTGTCATTCTGTATTTTCAATAATTAATGTAAAATGTATGTAATTAGATTTAAGAACCAATATTGTTCGAATATAAAATTGATTATCCGTTGTGACTAGCGCACTAATTTATAAGTTATACAACTTGTAGCGTTAGGAAGCCAAAACAATAAATAATAATAATAATAAAATGTGTTAACTTTCAGACTCTCCCATTCTATTATTTTAGAAAAGAGTAGGTAAAAAATAATTTTTAAAAGGTTATTTTTAAACTAGTGTTATTTATGATGTACCTCTTTAAACAATTATATTATACAATACACCAATTTGAAATTTTTAAACTAAATTAATAGAAATAGTATGAAATAAAAATTATATTTTGTTTAAAATTTAGTTTTTGCCTGATAATAACAACTCTTTTCCGCAGGTTTTGGCGATGTACCACCAATCCGGCCGCTTGAGACGCTACACAACGCCCTGTCACTGCGCAAGCTGGACAGCTTCCTGCAGGATATGATCTTGGCACAGATCTTTAAAACGCCGACAGGTTCACCGCCGCGGGGATTCGCCAAGAGCACTCTGCCAGCAGTCTCCTCGATGACGCTGACCGCCGGAAATCAGCCCGAGGTGACGATCGGCAATGAGGCGCAAATTGGTGGACATCAGAAGACCGTAACTCCGACCTTTGACCGGCGAGGCAGCGAGTCCGGCACAACCGATGCCCATCAGCGGCTTCTTCCGGAGGGCCAGTGTCCAAATCTGGATGAGAGCAACTCAGCGCTACTGCAATCGCTGGCGGGAAAGATGCAGCGTAAGTGCAGAAAAAAGTCTGTGGTTGAGTGGCAGTGTTAAACGGGACCGGATCTGGTTTATCTATTAACTTTATACTCCTATCCATATGTTTTTTTGAGCCTAAGTAAATTCTAAATTATGAAAAGGTTGGATTGCTTTTCAAATTTGCACGTTTCACAAAAATTTATTTAATAAAATTGTTTTATCACTGTTTTAAAAAGCTGATCTATGTTTTTGAATGATTTGAATGCGAATTTAGTGATTGTTTTGAGCACCTTTCACAAGACTTATATATTTTTATATCCTTGCAGAGGGTATTATGATTTCAGTCAGAAGTTTGCAACGCAGTGAAGGAGACGTTTCCGACCCCATAAAGTATATATATTCTTGATCAGCATCACTAGACGAGTCGATCTAGCCATGTCCGTCTGTCCGTCTGTCCGTCCGTCTGTCCGTCCGTTTCTACGCAAACTAGTCTCTCAGTTTTAAAGCTATCGGGATGAAACTTTCGTAAAAGTCGTATTTCTATTGCAGGTAGTATATATGTCGGAACCAAACGGATCGGACAACTATATCTTATAGCTCCCATAGGAAGGATCAAAAAAAAAAAAACGTAAACAAATTCTAGCTCCGGTGTTTTTAGAAATTTAGAAATTAATGGGAAAAAATTATATCTTTATTGGTTTTTATTACAGTTCCTTCTACTCTGGAATATGACTATTTTGAAATATTTCCGAATTTCGATTTTAATTTTTAAAAGATCGAACTACTATATCATATAGCTGTGATAGAAACGATCGAAAAATTAATGTGAAATAATACGAAATGTAACATTTTTGCGATTTGTAAATTAATAGAATGATCTGCAAGGGTATATAAGCTTCGGCTTGCCGAAGCTAGCTTCCTTTCTTGTTATTTTACAATTTAAGCTTTTGGTTTAAGCAATGAACACATTTTTTTCAAAGAATTTAGGTACCATATTAAAATATTTTTCATAAATTGAAGAAAATATAAAACAATTTTGTGTAATTTTAAATGTAAAGACACTGTTTCGAAACGTAATTTAACCAAAAACGTGCGTTGAACTAGATTTTAAAATTAAAATCCACAACTAACAAAGTGTTTCAAAACCTCTCTATCCACAAAAAGTGTAACTAAAACAATACTTTATTTCAACTTTAATTTATTCACTATATTTTTTATTTTAATTTTTTCAGAGAATCCAACAGAGCCAAGCATTTAAAACAAATGCAGTAAACCTTAGTTTTACCTCTTTGTGTATATTCAAAACTAATTGAAATTATATTTATTCATATATGAATAAATATGCATGTACTTGTTTATTGAAATCCTTTAGTTCCTAAGCCTTATGTTATTAAAATGGCAGAAAGTGCTAAAGTATGTATTGATTTCAGGAATTATGTCGGGCGGCATTATATCCCCTAATTACTTTACTTTTAGGAGCAAGGTTTAAATTCTCGCGATTAGATTTGGGTCTTTGGTTCACTCGTATCCCGAATGTTCTTTCGCTCTTAATAAGTCTATTCCGAAATTTTATTGGCTTTCTTGATTTTATATATATATATATACAATGTAAATTAAAACAAGAGAGAACGTTATAGTCGGGTGCCCCGACTATCAGATACCCGTTACTCAGGTAAAGGGAGTGCGAGGGAGATGGAGATAGAGATAGAAAACGTTGATCACGCATAACTTTTTAACGAATGGTCCGATTTGAAAAATTTCTTCTACATTTCGATAGGTATTGATAAACACAATAAAACTGCATTTTTACTTTTCCAAAATATTAAAATTTTTAAAATCATATATAAGCGATTGTGGGCGTTAGAGGGGGCGTGGCACCACTTTGAAACAAACTTGCGCTGCGTAGGAACTCCTAAAATCTGCATGCAAAATGCCAATCTTCTAGCTTTTATAGTTTCTGAGATCTCAGCGTTCATACAGACAGACAGACGGACAGACGGACAGACGGACAGACGGACAGACAGACGGACAGACGGACAGACGGACAGACGGACATGGCTAGATCGACTCGGCTAGTGATCCTGATCAAGAATATATATACTTTATGGGGTCGGAAACGCTTCCTTCTCCCTGTTACATACTTTTGCACGAATACAATATACCCTTTTACTCTACGAGTAACGGGTATAAATATATATATATATATATCCTCCTATATAAATATCTGATGCACAATTTGTATGTGTTTCAACACATTTGTTTATATTTCACTGTTTTGTATTTATTATCTATGCTATTTTTAGTCTTATTCAAAGTTGTAATATAATTACGTTATGTTGTATTTATCCCTCACTTTCTTGCTTGTCAATTATTATTATTTTTGTTACTGTTCCATTTTTGTTACGTTTTCCCAACTTATTTTAATATGTAATTATTAAACTAACATCTTAAACCCTTGGTCACTAAACATACACCCGTAAACAACAAGTTTGGCCTCAAGACAGTCTGCAGGCAGCTGAGGAGGAAGAGGAGGTATCCCTACCAGTATTGGAAATAAAGCCAAGGTGACATAATATTTGTACAATAAATTAATATTTATTAAAGTTACTATTAAAGTTTATATTTTATTTTGACAGCTTGGATCTTACCATGGAGATCATGGAGAAGTGGGCGTCAGCGGCTCCCTCCTTTGAGCCCATGAACCGGGACAGTCTGGAATCCGCCGAGGGAGCAGTAGGCGGTGGAGTCTTTTTGAGCGTTTGCGAGGAGCAGGGCAGCGGCAGCACTTGCCTTACTCCAGTCAGTTTCGGCATAGATCTGGATTTGAGCATGGTGGCCAACAAGGGCTCCATGACGCTGTCTATAGATGTGAGTGTAATTTCGATCTGTATCTTATCTACAATATGACTAATTCAAAAATGTTACAAATGATTTACAATCTTCGGATTTGGCCATAATTTGGTTCGAAACAAACTAAATTTGTATAATTGTTATACCCTTGCAGAGGGTATTATGATTTCAGTCAGAAGTTTGCAACGCAGTGAAGGAGACGTTTCCGACCCCATAAAGTATATATATTCTTGATCAGCATCACAAGACGAGTCGATCTAGCCATGTCCGTCTGTCCGTCTGTCCGTCTGTCCGTCCGTCTGTCCGTCTGTCCGTCTGTCTGTTTCTACGCAAACTAGTCTCCCGGTTTTTGAGCTATCGGGACGAAACTTTCGCAAAAGTCTTCTTTCTATTGCAGGTAGTATATATGTCGGAGCCGACCGGATCGGACAACTATATCTTATAGCTCCCATAGGAAGGATCGGAAAAAAAAAACTTTAAAAAATTCTAGCTTCGGTGTTTTTTGAAATATTACCTTCTACTTTTGGGGATGTTATTTTTTAAATATTTCTGAATTTCGAATTAATTATTTAAAAAATCGGACTACTATATTATATAGCTGCCATAGGAACGATCGGAAAATTAATGGAAAAGTAATAGGAAATAAATTCAAGCTTCTTTGGTTTTTATTGTATTATCTTCTACTCTAGGATATGACTCTTTTTAAATATTTCCGAATTTTAATTTTAATTTGATCAAAATCGGACGACTATATCATATAGCTGCCATAGGAACGATCGGAAAATTAATGAGAAATATTAGAAAATTGAACATTTTTGCGATTTGATAATTAATAGGAATGATCTGCAAGGGTATATAAGCTTCGGCTGGCCGAAGCTAGCTTCCTTTCTTGTTTTTATTGTTAAAATAAGTAAATCAATTTGTTTGTTATTTGCTTTCAATTTGATGACAAAATTAAAATTTTTTTTTTATTCCCCTGCAGGGATTTGAAGATGATGAGGATGCCACTTTGTCAGCGGCTACAACACCTTCTCTTCCGGCCGACTGTGAGCCGCGGCTAGAGAGCTGCTACTGCTGTCCCAGTCACGCAGAGGGTCCTCCGGAAGTTTCCAGCGATGACCCGCGCTTTGGATTTGCGTTACCCGTTCGCATCACCCAGGCTTCGCCGGAGCACTCGCGTCCAGTGCGCCGTGCCCATGATACCGTCTCGCCAAAGATCCAGAAACAAATAAGCCTGTTTGAGGGCAATGTTGCTCCAGGGGCGGGACAGAATAAGTCCGAGTCTAGTGGATCGGTTGGGGGCGGAGCAATCCTACACGCCTCTATCAATCTGCCAGCGGCGGGACCGCATCATCTGCGCCAGGATGCACGGCTGCGTAAGTTTGAGAACCTAACGCAGTCCACTTCGAATTCAAACTTTCCCTTTGAGAGCAACACGCTCAAGAGGGTGCCTATGCAGGCCACCGATGACTATGACAACGTGAGCCACACCCAGAGCTGTACAGACCTTAAAAGCGGCAGCAGCGGAGTCCTCAGATCACCGCAACATCAGAAAGGTAGCTATGTAATTTGTATACCCCTACAATGCCCCGTAATTTCAGTCACTTCAAATTGACATGTTATGTTAAGACCAGTGTTGGGACATACCTAGATACTTTTACCTAGGTACGTACCTAGGTACAATTTAGTGGTACCTTTTACCTTACCTAGGTATACAAATAATTGAGTACCTTTTACCTTACCTAGGTATTTATTTTTATATACCTTTGGAATTATTAAGGTACTTACATAGGTATTAAACATTGCTCTGATTTAAAATAGCCAAATCTGACTGCGACACTGTAGTATCGTTTCATTGTATCGTTTCGTTTCAGAATTGTAATAGTCGGAACGCAGCATTAATAATTCAGCCGTTCTATTGTTTGTTTTGTGAAGTTAAAACTAATCGCAGTTTTTTTTTATATAATTTTGTGCACGTATGTATGTTCCCATCACTACATCAATTTATTTATGAAACCAAAGTGTATTTGGCGCGCAAAAATGCCGTATGTACGTAAACAAACGGCATATACATGCATATGCACAATATATAGTCAATGTTTCTACATACGGAATTTTTGCGCGCCAAATATGTTCATGAGGGTTTCATAAATACATTAATGAAGTGATACGTGCATAAAATTATTCATGCCGCGTGGTTTAAAAATATATGCACAAAATTAAAACATTTAAATTTAAATGAAATGAAAAGATATTGTTTGATTAAGACGACTAAAAACTGAAAACTAGTCTTATTTTAAGTTTAAATGATTACATTGAACAAAACAAAAAAATTATAAAAAATAAAAAATACCTTATAAATACCTTTTACCTTTACCTAGGTACTGGGAAATTTAAGTACCTTTACCTTACCTAGGTATTTATTTTTGACAATACCTTTTACCTTACCTAGGTAAAAAAACACAGTACCTTTCCCAACACTGGTTAAGACTCGATTTAAAAAAATGAAATATTTGTGTCTGTGAAATTTATTACAAACAAGAAAGGAAGCTAGGAAAGGAAGCTACCCTTGCAGATAATTCCTACTAATATACAAATCGCAAAATTTTAATTTTCCTATTATTTCTTATTAGTTCTCCGTTCGTTGTATATATGATAGCTATATGATATAGTAGTTCAATTTTAATAAAAATTAATAAAAAAAAAAATTAATAAAAATTAAAATCGAAATTCGAAAATATTTAAAAAGAGTTATATCCTGGAGTAGAAGAGAATACAATAAAAACCAACGAAGTAATAATTTATTTCCTATTATATTCCCATTAATTTTGCGATCGTTTCTATGGCAGCTATATGATATAGTCGTCCGATTTCGATACAATTTTATTCGAAAATATTTAAAAAGAGTTATATCATGGAGTAGAAGAGAATACAATAAAAACGAACAAAGCAATAATTTATTCCCTATTATATTCCCATTAATTTTCCGATCCTTTCTATGGCCGATTTCGATACAATTTTATTCGAAATTCAGAATTAGATAAAAAATGGAATTTCTAAAAGTAGAAGGTTATATGTTCAAAAACTCCCAAGATATAATTATTTTAAATTTTTTCCCGATTATTCCTATGGGAGCTATATGATATAGTTGTCCGATCCGGCTCGTTCCGACTTATATACTACCTGCCAAAGAAGGAAGACTTTTGGGAACTCAGAGACTAGTTTGCCTAGAAACAGACGGACAGACGGACATGGCTAGATCGACTCGTCTAGTGATGCTGATCAAGAATATATATACTTTTTGGGGTCGGAAACTTCTCCTTCACTGCGTTGCAAACTTCTGACTGAAGTCCTGAAATACAATTTAATAACCATTTTTTTGGATGCCGTCCAATAAGTCACTGATAGGTAGTTTTTATATTTACTCAGACATTGTCAGCAGTTTTTTTAAAATTTAGTTTTCATTTTTTGCTCGGAACATTTTTTCTCACCGTTTTGTTAAGTGTTTTCCTTTAAAGTTGATTGTTTCCATTTATTTAAAATTTAAATGTTATTTAATTTTTTTG